GTTTTGTTTGGGCCGGGCACAGGCTACGCCGACCTTTTCCTCTCCTGTCTAAAAGAAAAAAAAACAAGGAATTTGTATTCTAGAAAAACAAGGAATTTGTGCATCATTCTAAAAAAAAAGGAATTTGTACACTATCCCATCCAAAAAAAAGTGGGTCATCCAATCTTTGTGCTCCACAGATAGCCCCGTTGACCCCACAGATAAACCATCTTTTATTCGCAGATGACAACATGTTGCTCTTTAAGGTTAATGGTGTGGGAGTACCAGAGGTGCACCAGGGGTTGGATGCCTTACTGGACTGCATGGCTACAATCTACGAGGCAACAGATAAATTTTCCCAAGTCATCAATCTATTTCAATAAAGGGGTTCAAAATATTATAACAGAGATAAAAGGCTTGCTACAAATTCCGAATGAGACGTTGAATGAAAAATATCTTGGGATGCCATCTGATGTGGGGTCATCGTAGAATGGGGCGTTCAAATATTTAAAGGACCACCTTTGGAGCATGGTCTAGTGACGGATTGAGTGAACCATGTCAATGGCTGGTAAAGCAGTTTTGCTCAAGGTCGTAGCCCAAGCTCTGCGAGTTTACCCTATGTCTTTGCTTCAAACTCCCAAGGGGTCTACGTGAGAAACTAAACATGCTAATCTGAAAAATTTGGTGGGGAAGTAGAGATGGTCTGCGAAAATCACACTGGGTATCATGAAAGGACACGACACAACTCAAAGGCATGGGAGGCCTATGGTTTAAAGACTTCGAACTCTTTAATTTATCTTTGCTAGCAAGGTAGGTCTGGCACATACTACAAAACCTGGAGTCTTTGAGTGATCTAATTTTGAAGACCGACTATTTTCCTAACACTTCTTTGTTGCAAGCTGAGTTGGGAACACACCCAAATCAAAATATGGATGGCAATTGTAGAACAAGAGACGTTCTCAAACAAGGACTAATTAGAAGAATTGGGAATGGTATGGATAACAAGTTGTGAGAAGATTACTGGATTCCAAGGGATGAAATGATGAAGCTGTATGGATGCTTGAGCATCAACCCACCTCACGTAGCATCGGAACTTATAGATTCCACATCGGGCCAGATCATGAGTCATGAAGTAGATATATAATGGTAGCATTATTAGATCACGGAGGGAATTGAGATTTAGCGGACAACTTTTTGTTCTGTTTAGTTCAGGCTAGGTATCACGTTACACACGGGTGTTTTGTTTGCTACAGTTGCCCCTTCTTACTATTGCTTCAAGGCAGCATCTTGAAGAACCATTGCTCGCGATGTCCAATTCCAAATGTGCGTCAATAATAATTTACAAATGACTAACATTACAAATCAATGCATGCGCGCAGAGCAGGCACAATCCATGTAAAAACGACATCATGAACTACAATTACTTGCTGGATCATCAACAAATCAACAAGAAAACAATGAAAAAGAAGTTTAACCATGGTTTTAATGGAGGTGTGAGGAAAGGGGGCCGGAGGAAGGGCACATTGAGATCTTGAGAAGGGCTGAGGTTGGGGGAGGACGACGACGTGGAAAGAAGAACCTGGATGCTCCCACCCCAGTGGCGTTGTGGAGCAGATCGGTGGCCGGTATTGCCCCCCCTGCTCGGCGGCTCGCGAAATAATCCCAGAGGTAGTTCAAAGGAAGGTGGAAGTTCCAGCCCTGCTGCTCGCTGGATGATTTAGGCTGGTGGAGGTGGTAGTGGGGAGGGGGAGAGAGCGGAGCGGAGCGGGACGAGGACGAAGTGGAACCAAGGGCTCGGGTAGACGGGGTAAGCGTAATTGATCGTAAACTTAATGGTACGATTTGTTTACACGGAATCTGATTATGTGGTGTCCTTACTCTTTTTTTCAAAAGATGTCATTACTCTTTTTTGGGAGGAGGGGGGAGGGCTAAACATGCTTAGTGCTTATAAAATTAAAATATATCGTGTTGCCTATTTGTTGATGATGAAAGAAACGATCGAATTATAATGAGGGTTAGCTATTTTGAAATTTTTTTTATAGTTGCGATATTTCACTGAAATATACTTTCTTCGTTTCATAATATAGGAGCGTTTTTGACATTATCATGACACTAGTATCATGAGTCATGGAGACGCTCGTTTTCTCACAGCAGAAGACGAACAACACTTCCTGGGCCACGGGCCCCCTAGCGGCGCCGAACGAACGAACAAGGCCGACGCGCACGCGCCGCTGACTCCTCCCCCCACCCCACCCACCCTTCTCCGTCTTCTTCTTCCTCAGACCAACCGAGCCGACCCCGATCCGGTCAAAATCGAGACGACTCACTGCTTCCTCCGCCCTCCCGCCCCGACGAAGCCATGGTGAGTCCCGTTGCGGTCGCCGCCGATCCGCGCGCGAATTCTCTGGCGCCGGTTCCGCTCCGATCTGACTGACTGATTTCATCTGCTGCTGATGCTAGGTGTGCGTGGCGTGCCTGATCCCGCTCTTCCTCATCCCCTTCGTCAACGCGCTCCCCTACCTCTTCGACCTCCTCCTCGTAAGCCCCCCGCCCCCTTCCCTTCCTTCCCCGCTCCGCCCGCCTGCGCCGGCCGGTGTCGAATCTGGTGCCACCGATTCATCCGGATTCTCGGATTCGTGGTGGCAGCAGCAGCAGCGCGCGTAGGTGGTCGGTCAGGCCGTCTTGAATTGGCTGGCTCCTGTTTCAGCAAAGCCTGATGTGCTTCACCGGCTGCGAGATTGCGCTGGGTGATACATACTCCCTCTGTCCCAAAATATAAGAACGTTTTTAACACCACACTAGTGTCAAAAACGTTCTTATATTATGGGACGGAGGAAGTACATGATACACCTAGCTCTGTGGCAGTGAGATGAATGGATTTTATCATGCGCCTAACTAACATAGCTAGCAGCAACGAAGCTATCACATAAACTCAAATCAAATGGGATGCATTGTACAAAAAAAACAACAAAGTGGCCATGAGAATTATCGTGGTGGCAGGGGTCATCAAATTGCTGAGACTGTGAGATGCGTAGTGTTCCTCGAGGCCTCGAGGGTTGTTAGAGTTGAATTGTGTCTGTGTCGCTTGAGATGCACCAGTTTGATCTCTACTGATGTGTTGATTGTTTCTCTGCCAAGTGATGTGCGCCTTTATATCCAAGGATGATTGTTTGATGTATTATTACCTGAAAAAATTGGCATGCTGCTGTTACTCTTGATGATAGTTGTTTCCGTTCTCATATTGAGATTATCTGGAAAAAAAGTATATGTGTTTCTGTTACTCTTAAGTGAGTATGCTTGTAACTGTGTGTTCCCTGTTTTATGAACACTGACCCATGGTTCGAATGCCTGTCGCAGAGCAAGGTTTATCGCATGCTTGGATGGGAATACAGGAGGCCCGAGAGAGTCCCAGCTGCCTGCCCGTTCAAGCCTGCAGCAAACAAGACTGAAGTAAGCCTCACTGCTGATGTTACTCTTTCCTGCCCTTATGCTTGTGTAAAATCTAGATTCCTGCTTACCGTTTGGTCGTCCAGATTATGCATTCTTTCCTAGTTTATCCTCGCTGTGCATGCTACTTATCTGGGCTTTTGGTCCCAAAATATATGGCAGATTCAGGTGGGGAAACTCCCCCCTTGAAAATTAAAAAAAAAGGTACAGCCAAATACATTTCTTTCACACAGCATCGTACCAAAAGTCGACAGATACTGTAGCAGCTAAACTGCACCCATCCTTTGCTTCCTTAGCTACATGATAATCTCGCAACGGTCTATGGAGCATAAATGGTCCAGCTGTTAGCTTGTTTAGGCTTAACTTTGATTTTCGATTTTGGCTTATATAAGCCAAAAGAAAACCTATTTATGTGGAAGCCAGAAGCACATAAATAGTTGCTTTGTTTTGGCTTATAAGCCAAAATCCAAAAGCCAGAGTTGAGCCTAACCAAACACTCCATTAAGCTTATTGATTTCCAGTAGCAGTTACCTTAGAGCTTAGCCTGTTAAGTCCTTTTAAATTTACAGTGCTCTCTTTCTTTGTAGGGTGTGGCGGGTGAATCAAAACCAGTAGCAAATCCTCATGTTGCAAGTGCAAATCCTCTGGTGGAACCCCAGAGTGCTACCACAGAAATGAAGAAAGATGATTAGAACATGTAACGGTCGCCCGGTTTGACTTATGTGAACAACTCTCACTATTTGTATTTGTGATAGTGTCGTAACCGAGAAATAATTAATGTAAGATTGTATATTTGGGCAAGGGATTGCTAAAATATTCCCGCGTTTCCGCTTTCAGCATAGGTTATGTATATGCATGTGTTGTGATATTACTCAAATGCTTACCACCATTGGTAACAGAGAAGTGATCCAAGTCAAAGATCACTTGACATACTCAAGTATGTTGGGTCCAAGTAAGCCCCGTCCTGTCTCTTCTCATCCTCTAGGTTTCGTGTGTCGTGTCTCTCTGCCTGCTGGGGCGGTGGGCATGGTGAATATCTCAAATTCAGCTAGCATGTCCCTCCTCGGTGGTTGCAGTTTGTTTGCAAGTTTTTTGATTTCTACAGCCAGGACATGTAATCTGGTTGAGCAAATATTTCTGTTTCCATTGGGATTTGGTTGCCTGAATTGTCACATATCTGTGATAGTTCTGTTTAGAACAGGTAGTCTAGTACGGGGAATTGCCACCCATGCCCCTGCCTGAATCACGCGACAAAGATATATAGCAACATCAAAGCTATCCCACAAACCCAAGCACAAACGGGTGACAAGGGTGCCATTTTATTTTTCTGAGGTTTGCAAGATTCATATTGTTTTGTCGAGGAGTATGACATGATGGATTGCACTCTCCCTAAGGCGACAGGATGGGGGCTTAGCACAACAATAAGCTGAAAAATGACATCTTACTCCTAGTAGCAATGTTAGAGACTTGGAGTTAGAGATGTTATGTTGTTTGCATCAGTCCCACCTCTAGAGTGAGGGATATATACATATAAATGGATGAGTTGAGTTGGAAGGAATACCAATGTCTTTAATTCTTTTTTCGAGTTGGAAGTAATGCTCTTAATTCACTCTATCTTGAGATAGCATCTGCTTTTATTTTAGTTTATGTCTTATGTCTTTACATGGTTTTTGTTTTTTAGTTATGTTTATTTAAGGAAAAATGGCTGACACAAAAGAAAATTTAGGCAACTTGCCAATAGATGGTCCATCTAAGAATAATTGTTGTAAGAATGTACTCCACAGCTCCCTTTCAATATAGTATATGTGTGCATGTATTCTAATCTGTTAGCTATGTGTCCTGACTGTACTGTACGTTGTAGTGATGGTGCTATATATGTAATTACTCGCAAATTGTATAGGTGCACTTAGAATGATTCGAAGAGATGAGGTTGTTGCAGAACTCAAAATGCATTTCCAACCTAACAGGGAGTCATACACCCGACCTCCTTGTTCAGTTTTTGTTACATGGGAGTAACCAAATTGGGTAGAGAGGTGATCTAAGCCAACTAATCACTTGACATACTCGAGAACCGCGTAGAACGGATCCAGGTAGAGGGCCCGGAAGCTGGTGAAGCCGGCGGTGAGGCCGAGCTGCCGGAACTCCTCCTCGGACCGCTCCCTCCCCTGGGTCCGGTAGGTGGTCATGACGAAGATGTCGTTCTCCAGCAGCGCCCTCGTCCTCGTGCTGGCGTCCGTCGTCTCCGGCACCACCGGCTCGCACGCGATGAGCTTCCCGCCCTCCGGCAGCGCCTCGTGGCATTTCTTGAGGATCGCCGTGCACTCATCGTTGGTCCACGTCGTGAGAACCCACTGGAGGAAGGAAACAAGATGAGAATCAGATCAAATCTTGTTTGGTTTCGGCAATGTTGTGACCCGGGTGTCTGAATTTCAGGGACTTCACAGCGTGATACACACCTTCATGAAGATGGCGTCACCGGAGGGGATGGATTTGAACATGTCTCCACCAACATGCTTTACTCCTGCATTTTAATTTGCAGGTGCCACCGTTGTTATTAAGAAATATGCCTGTGAATTTAAGATACTGCGAATTTAAATACTAGACAGAAAACATTCAAATGTGTCCTGCTACCAATTTAGCAGGTTGGGTAGGGACAAAATGGACTGAAAATCTGGAGATCTGGGATTGCTCCATGTGACTAGCACAATCACTCTGAACTCAGAGCAGGTAGATATTTCTGAAGCCAAGATGGCAAGCAACACAAGTGTGCTCTGAACTGAAACCTCACTACCAAACTCATCTACTGCTGAAGTGCTGATGTTGACACTCTGAACTCTGAACTAGTAAATATTTCTGAACACAAGTTAGTAAGGAATGCATAGTTTACCACAAATGCGCTACAAATCCAACTAACAACGAAAAAAACTGTGCCTGCCATTTTTATTTTTAGCAGGTTAGGTAGGGACAAGAACTGCCCAGAAATCCAGCACATCTGCTGCTGAAGTCTGAAGATGTAAAATTTTCTGAAAGCCAGCATGGGCAAGAGTGCATTATGCATAGTTTACCCTAATAAGTGCACTCTGAAACCTCGTTATCAACATTTCTGAGTGCACGTCTGCTGATGCCAATGCCGAAAACAACATCTGTTTCTTTAGATTATCTCTGTGTGTGGTGGTGGTAAATCCACGATCTGCTGGGGTACGCTACTAGAAACACAATCTCGTGACTCACGTGTGTCATGTCTGCCCTGGTCGGCTGGTTGGTGGGGAGGCATTCTTCTTGTGATGGATCGACCGATCGTGCCATTGTCATTTCCAGTTGGTGTGCCGATTTGTTTGGAGATCGATCAGAAATGTCTTAGGAATAATCCGTATGAGTAGGTAGGGGGTTGGGGGATTGATGGTCTCACCGGCGATGGTGGGCGCGGCGGCGACGACGTCCGGCAGGTCGAAGTTGACGCCCTCCCGGATGGTGGGCACCCGGCGCATGATCATCTCCAGGCAGGCGCCGGAGCTGCCGCCGACGTCGACCAGCGTGGCCACGCCCTCGAACCCGCCCTCGTACCCGTCCAGCAGCGCCTCCATGAACGGCTCCGACACGCCGGTCATGGCGCGGAGCATCACCTCGTTCGCGCCCCGGTCCTGGCCGTAGTAGGCGTAGGCGGGGACGCCGGCGTGGGCGCGCGCGAAGGGCTCGGGCCCGGCGGGGTCGAGCACGGCCTCGTGGAGACGCGGCCACGCCAGCACCAGCGCGTCCTGGTGGTGCTGCAGCACGTAGTCGGCGTACGACGCGCCGGAGGGCCCCGAGGGCACCAGGGTGCGCCCCACGGCCGTCAGCGCGTACCGGCGCTCCGGGCGGCCGTCGGCTGCGTGCTCGGAGAAGACGCCGCGGGAGGCGAGCAGGCGGAGGAGCCGCTCGAGGACGGAGGGGTCCGGGTGGCCCGGCGGGAGCAGCTGCGCGGCCGAGAGCGGCGCGTTGGCGCCGCCCGCCCACACCGCGGCCGGCACGCCCAGCCGGATGACGGCCGTCAGCGCCATCGGGACGGCGATCATGTTGGCCAGCTCCATCATCGCCAGCCGCGCCTCCGGCGGCGACATCTCCGCGGTGGCGGGCTCGGCTGCCGGCGGCTGGGTCGGCGTCAACGACATTTTCGATGAGGTGGAGTGGTGGGAGTGAGCGAGTGCCGTCCGGTCCATCCCTGCAGCGCCACATCTCTCGGCTATATAGGTACACGTTGCCGCCAGTACCACAGGGTGGTCCCTCCCAGAGAATGATATGTGGGGCCGACAAACCACCGGGGCCGCATGGCAGCGTGGAGAGGGAGAGGGGTACGGTGGAGAGAGTGCGAGTTCGGGGGATGACCGCGTGGCGGCACGTCACCTCATGTGGCCATCAAATCGGATCCGTTCACCAATGTTTTTTTTTTATATTTTGATTTGAGGGGATTCGCCGATACTATTTTATAGTGGTTGCTTTCGAGATGGCTTCGTTATCTCGTGCGATGGTTAGTTTAATCTTTTTCGATGAATGGTTAGTTTAATAAATTTAACCTACTATTACTTCTCCGTTTCATAATGTGGTGCATATAGTTTTTTTAAGTCAGACCTTATGAAATTCGATAAAGTTTGTGAAGAAATACATTTACATATAGAATGCCATATATATACTACCCCGTTGTGGTTTGTTGGCCCCTTTAGTATTTTGTGACAAATTTTGACCATGGATTTAATTAACAAAATGTTGATGCATGTCACAAGAAATAGTATCCCAAAAACTATGTTGAAATATGAACCTAATGATATAATTTCTTCATGACATGCATTAATATTTTATCAGTTAAATATATGAAAATTTTAACACAAAATACGAAAAAAAGCAATAAACCAGGACCTCATTAGATTCACCATAAGATGCAGTTTTATATCTTTTTGTATTGTAGATCTAAATAGCTTTCTTTATACACATAATTAAATTTAAACTTATAAAAATAATTCTATATACTTGGGACATATCCGTGGCGGTGGCAGGCTTGACTGCCGGCGACTGCGGCGACGACATTCTCAATGAGGTGGAGCGGTGGGAAAGTGAGCGAGCCCAGCGGTGCGGCACCACATCTATCGCCTATGTAGGTGCACGCTGCTTACCGTACCATAGGGTTAGAGCAACTCTAGCAGACCCCGCAAAACACGTAAATCCGCAAAATTTCGGCGAGTATGCGGGCTCGGTCCATTTTTCTATCCAGAACAAAGCCCGCATACTCGCCCGGCCCGCAATTTTTTTTGCCGCGGCCCGCAAACCGCACGCCCCGACCACTATAACTGCGGTTCCGCGACTCATTTGCGGGTCCAAACCCTACCCCTCGCCGCCGCCGAGCCACGTGATTCCCCTTCCCCCTCTCCACATTTCTTGCTGCCGGCGACCTCCAGCCGCCATGTGGGGCCGAATGTGGAGCTCCGGACGCGGCTCCGGCAGCAGATCCGACGGCGGAAGGGACCAGGAGCGCGAGCGGCGCGTCCAGTCCGACGGCGCGCGAAAGCGCGGGGCCCGGAAGTGGACCAACCGCGGCCTGTCGCCGCCGGCGAGCTTCCAGCGGAGCGAGACGGCGGAGTAAGACCGCCGGCGCGCGTCCTTCTCCTCCGCGAGGTCCTCGTACGCCGGGAGCTCCTCCTCCGGCGCGGGCCTTCTCCCCATG